TCAAATTGTGAAGGGTTATGTCATGAGGCTTTTTTAGTTTTTTAAATTTTTTAGTTCCTGCTTTCCCTCCCTTTCCCCACTTCCATCCATCCCTACTCTCCCCGCTCCCCAAATCAAACCTCATACTGTTGTCCATGTCCATAGGTTGTATGTAAATGTTCTTTGGTTAATCCCTTCAACATATTTCACTCTCCCCCACATTCCAGCAGCTGTCATTCTATTTTAGGTACCTAAGTTTCTGTTTTGTTCATTAGTTTATTGTGTTCATTAGATTCTTCATATGAGAGTGTGGGCCCACAGACATGAAAAAAAGCACAATATCACTATTCATCAGAGAGAGGCAAACTAAAATCATAATGAGATGCCTGTTACCTTATGCCTGTCATAATGGCTATCATCAATTAATCAACAAATAACAAATATTGGCAAGCATTTGAATAAAAGGGAACCCTAGTGCACTGTTGGTGGGAATGCACCCTGGTGCAGCAATTGTGGAAAATAATTTGGAGTATCCTTAAAAAATTAAAAGTGGAACTCCCTTTTGACCCAGAAATTCCACTTCTGGGAATATACTCCAAGGATCTTGAAACACCAATACAAAACACACCTATGTTAATAGTAGTGCTATTTACAATAACCAAGAATTAGAGACAGCCTAAGTGTCCATCAATGGGTGTGTGGAGAAAAAAGCTGTGGTACAGTTACACAATGGATCACTATGCAGCAGTAAAAAAAGAAGAAACTCTCACATTTTTCAACAGCATGGATTGACATGGATAAAATTATGCTAAGTGAGTTGAGCCAGTCAGTGAAAGAAAAAAAATCACATGATCTCATTCATATGTACATTTCTTTTTAACTTTTTTAAAAAGGTATTTTTGGACATTTCTAAATATAGTATGGATAGCAGTCAATGCCCAGATCTTTCAGAGATCATTGAATATTGCCTCTGAACTAACACTAAGTCCTGCGGATCCAGAATAATACTAAGAAACATTGATCTGAATGGACGCTGTGGGGTCATGTGATGAATAAAATTTTGCGCTGAGATCATACTACAGTTGGCACAGTGCTGCCTCCATTCTAGCCTTTGATCATTTTACCAGATCATGGTCACATTTTTGGAAGATTTACCCCGCAACTGATAGAACTATCATTTTATTTCTAAGGCCCATGAAGTATAGGCTATAAAATTGCAGGAATGGAAATTTAATACATCTTATCCCACCAAAAGAGTAAACACAAATTTTGTTGTATCTCTGGGGAAATGCAGCAACTAGTGTCACCATAAAAATTATGGAAGGACAAACAATGGTGATTATAAGCACATACAGATTTAAATTACCTGTTTGATATAGATAGGAGCTAAATGAATCTTTTCAAGCAACCATACATTTAATGATGTGGTGATTACAAACACAGCCAACATGGTATCTCCACCAAAGTAAATCAACAAAGACCCTTGCAGTAATTACTATAGTATAGTAATGGTGTAATGAGTGACAATGTATTTTTTAAACATTTCCATAAACAGAGATCCCCAGAAAATGTTTGTGGTCCCTCAGCAACAACAATGCTGTACTTTCACCATCTTGTTTCAGCATCCTCTTAAGTTGCCAGCTCTCCAACCTGATTTAGTCTTCAGTAATCCTGATCATTTCAACATCCTCTGAAATATGATGTTCAACAACATGAATGACATGAAACTAAAAGTATCTGATTAGACGGGATGATCCTGTCTGCCAGACCCCTTTGCAAGAACCAAGAAATAAAACCCATCAAAAGAGAAAGAGCATGTACATCACTGGTCACTCTAAAAGGCTGAGACAAGTTGGGACATTCCCTCCAAAGTTTTTGAGGCATTTTGCAGTGCGTATCATATCAAACTAGCCCTCTGAGGAGAGAGTCCAAAAGTCAAAGACTAACCCAAAACAATTAAAATGTGGTCTATTACAGCTCAAAAGTAGGATTCTGTACCTTCGCATATTAAAGCATTGATAATTTTTATTAGAGTGTGCTTATTTTTCTTGGGATAAAATATATATTTGTGTATATTAAAATGGTTTTAATCTTTAGCTAGATACGGCATGTCTACTTCAAAAATATTTTTAAATAAAAACTTTAAAGTTTCATTTACAGAAGCATATAATAAATATACACTATTTTGTGAGCTGATAAAACTTTAAAGTATTTGCAGACAATGGGTTTTTAATTTTCATGCTATATATTGATATATCACTATTTATCTATCTATTTTTTATCCATTCATACATCTACCTGAAAGAGATATGTTTTAGAAACCCTAAAAGTATAAAATGGAAGAACAGAAGTGTTGTTATCTAAATAATTTGATGTCTAGTCATCTAATAAATGATTTTCTAACCATTTTGCTGTGCGTTTGAAACTCACAGAATAACATTGAACAACACTGAATGTAAACTGTGATTGAAAACTTTAAAAATTAAATTTAAAGTGTAAAATAAAATGAACAATGAAATATTCCAAAGTAAAAAAAGTTATTTTTTCTTTTTGCATTTTCCAAATATAATTTCAAATCTGAAATTTTTATGTTCATTGATGTCATAAAACCAAATTAATAAGGAAATGACAACAAACTACAAATTTGAAGCAAATTAATTAAGAAGGAAATGCATATCTAAAAAAAAATCCTTAGAGGAGATTGAAACCAAAGTTAAAATCTGCTGGAAAAAGTTTTTTATGAAATTCACATTTCTTCAATGTAATGCTTTAAAATATTCAGGAATTAGAAACTAATTATTACAAACCACTTTATATAATGTTGGTACTTGATAAAAAGGTCTAGTAAAGGTAACTTTAAACCTAAGACTTTTTAGGAGTTTCTTGAAGTCAAACATTTTTGTGGGAATTGAAACTTAGTTGCTTTAGAATGACAGATACTAAGAAAAATCTCCTCATTTTGATTTTTGGGGGGTAAGTTTGTATACCCCGAGAAATTGGGAAAAAGTGAAAATCAACAAAATGCCTTCTTTGAATACAAGTGTTTGTTTTATGTAATAATATGCCTTGGACAGCCTGACAAAATTATTTTTTCTTAGTACTTTAAGTATTAGAGTTCTAAAAAACACACTTTACAGTTTGAAGACTCCAGCAAGTCAAAAAACATCTAGAGCTAATATTTGCTCAACACATCATTTAAAAAATAAGCGATCATTTCCTACATCTAGTTCATCAGAGAAATATTGCTTTTAGCTTTCAAAGAAGATTATGCAAGAAAGAGAATATTCTCCCAAAATAATACAATTATTAGTGATTGTTCTATGTGCTCTCAATATGTTAATGGAAGATTCACAGCTGAGCCAAGTGAAGATGTTATACAAGAAGCCAGAAATCCCGTGTTTAAAGTCAGTGTATTTCTGATGTGTGAAGATGGTTCACATTTACTGAACACTTGCAACATTTAGTTATTGTGGTGAGAAATTGACATATACCAGTATTGCCAGCAGCTGAGACTATACTGAAGAAAAACTTAATTTTCACTATTACTATCCAGCTCTTTAGCTTTTTTAAAAATTCTACCTTGAGATAAAGAGTAAATGGAGAAAAATATAAATTCACTGAGAAATGTAGCATATCTATGTGCAATGTTTTCCCTAATGAAGTAAAAATAGCTGTGAACTTCTTTGAACATAGATTAAACATCTAGAATGTGCAGATTGTTTCTTAGTGAATTGCTCAACTGCCTTTGTATTGTCCAGACACTCTAAAATGTTTCCCTCAGTTTTCTCAGTCAGAAGTAACTATGAACTTAATTGCATGCATTTTCTTACTCTTAAGTGAAAGCCACTTGATTGACTGGATATATCCAATAATTCAAATTATTTTGGTCAAGACTTGATTTCCATCATCATTGTCTTGTCACCTCAGCCATTCCACAAACTACAATATTATGTGACTAAGTCTGATTCCATTCAAACACATCCTATTTCATTGAATATTCTGGAAAGGATGTCCACAGAGACAAAAGTCCACTTGCAATACTAATGAGATGACAAGCTTATGCCCTTCAACTGGGAATTGTACCCAGGGAATAGAGGGAATTTACAATATTTTGGTTTTTTTATGTTTTTCCCAATCAGATACCTGTTGTTGGCAAAAACTGGTTATAAATGGTTAATAGTCTTTAAATGATTATTTCTGTATAATAGGTTGAATTAGTCAGCCATAGTTTATCTTTGATTCTATTTTACCAGAAAAGTAGCTTTGTGTATTGATTTGTTAAAAGGTGAGTATTTGAAGGGAAAATACATGAAGTTAGTATCTCAAACAACAGTATTGTCCACTCCCTAATAATTACTACCTCATAATTCCAAGATCTTCATGTGGAAGATAGATGTGTTTTCATGTGGTTGTAGGTAGTGCATAATTATTCTAATTTTGATAAGTAGCTTTACCAAAGAAAATTAATTTCATGTATCCTTGTTATAATTTTTAAAATAATGGGAATTTTTCGATCTGAAAAGGTACTTCATCTGTGGTGCCAAATAAATGAGCAAATGAGCAAATAAAACTGGCCAGGTTAAATGCTAAAATAATAAATTGAAATTTGAAGTAAACAAAACAACAAAAACATAGATTGAACTATAATAATTACACTGCATTAAACTGAGATAAAAATTTTCTATAAGTGAATCTGAGCTAAAAATGTGTTCTTTTTAACTTACAGAATTATTTTTATTTGCTTTGATTTTTTTTCATTTTTTAATTGTTGTTCAAGTACTTTTAATGAAAAATTCAATTAAAACATCTTTTTTTGTCTGTCCTTGACTGTGTCTTCAAGAAAGCCTTAGCCTTTATTTGTTTAAAACTGAAAAACACATTTTGACATTTTCTACATCCAGTCCTAACCTTCTGATTCATGAGAAGTTCTCTCACAGATCTCAGTCAATGTAGCCCTCAGCTGCGGAGATCTTTGGCAGAGCATGGCCTAAGGTACATGTTTGGTTGGACATCACACTTACCTGCTTGATTTGTGGTTACATTTACAGACACATACTGCCGGGCTCCTGGGCTCAAGTCGGACACTCCATTCACTGCCTCAATCTCAAAGGTATAGTTTGTGTGAGCGAGCAGATCCACCATCATGACAGAGGTGTTTTTCAGGCCGATTTGCTGGGGCAGGTACCTGACATGACCTCCACACTCGTCACACACACCTGCATGGGAGTTGCACTTCTTGCATGCAATATAATATGACACATCTTTCCTTCCACCAGTGTCAGCAGGAGGAATCCATTCCAGAAAGACACTAGTTTCATTAACATTTGAGATGGCATTCCGCGGAGCTGAGGGGGGTCCTGGTTTGCAAAGTAAAGTGAGAAAAACATATTTTAAGATGATAAAATCAGGCAACTACTACACAAATCCCCAGTCTGAGGGGAAAAAATAAAGATTTGCAATTTATTTCTTAAATAAGGGGAATCAAAGAGTCATCATTTGTAATACTCTTTGAACAATCTTATTATAGTTTTGTAGGGACAATAGTGGAATATATATACCCTATAGAAATGACTTATCTTGAAATTGTTATAACACTAGTTCAGTTAAAGCAGATATTTTGCTATGTATACATAAATAATTATGGAGTAAAACTATATATGCAAAAATAATGTTAGATAAAATTACATATTTTAAAAGGGCAAGTCCTTTCTCAAATGCAAGGAAAAAATACTCCTTGATATTAAAGTAATCACTTCTTGATTAATAATTGTTCCTAAAATCTAGAAAGTAAGCATGAAGTATTCCTAAGCAATGAGAACTGGTAAAATTGGGTTTTTAGTGTGGCTCTTGATGAAAAATTTGCAATAAGTAAAAAATAGCCTTAGCTTATCTCAAAATGGGTTGCCTATCTACTAATATATCAATAACAGAATCTGAAACCCTCCCTCATATGTCAAGAAAACACTAGAATTTAAGTAGATGGTCAATATTATAATCTCTAATAAAGCTATTTTTTAAAAATTTTGATATTGTTTTAAGGTGGTGGCTTTCTGCAAATTATGAATTTTACTCAATTGGGAAACTAAAATTTATTTTTAAAATAATTCAAAATCTCTACATTGAAAAGAATGAAAGTATTCAGATCCTTAGAGATCAGCAGAACAAATTTATAAATAAATAATAAATAACATTTATTTATATATTACTTTAAACATCCCTGAAGCTAACAATTAGCACTCTAACAAGAACTGAAGTTGATTACATATAATTACAATAAGCATTCCCCTCTGCTGGGAGATGTTGACAATGCAGGAGGCTGTGCATGTGTGTTGGCAAGGACTATAAGGCAAATCTTTGAATCCTTCTGAGTTTTCCCGTGAAGCTAAAACTGGTCTAAAAAGCAGTCTTTAAAAAATGACTGCATAATGTCTAACATTATAGTCAATTTTTAAATGCCTAGACTTAAAATTTCAGTCAGCTGTTAAAGTTATATGATCAAATGTTCTCAAAGAGAAAATAAATGTATATTTCTTTTAGACCTAATTAGTAAAAGTTTCCTCACAAAGAATAAAATAAGCTGTGGTGATAGTGGAGTGGTTTATCAGCAAAAATCAAACAAATTTAAGATGGTATAGCTTAGTTATATCAATACACATGATTTGTTCTTAATAAAAGAGTTAACATTAATTTCTAGCTAAAATTGATTAAGCCATGACTGCTGAGGACTCTATTTAAAATGATAGGAAAACTAGCTTGTATTTAAAAAATATCATTTAAATTAAGACTCCATAACCAAAGAGTTGCCATTTTTGACAAAACAGTCCCCACCTTGGCTGTATTTATGGTTAAATCTTATGAATTTGTCCATACGTACAACTTTACACACTTCAATGTAGAACAGTCACTTTTAAGTTGAAGTAAGTACTTAAGATGAAAACATAAGTATTATTTTTCTATAATACCTTCTTTAATTGTGGAAACTTATGGAGAAAATATAATTTGAGGTCAAAATGTTATTGGTTTCTTTCTAAGAACATGGTAAAAGATACCTGAAATATGTCTAGTTCAGAAAGATACCACACCTCTAGGATTTTTTTTTCTGCCAGCTAAAATATACCTGCATGTAACACCTTTGCTCTAAATCTGTAAAACTGAGACAAACTCTGGCTCATTTCTTCTGACTCTGCTACTCACAGCCCCTCAACATTTGGGCAAAGGCACATATGAAACTCAAATTTAAACTCAAAATAAAACTTAAATTTAAGTAAAACCTTAAAGTAGAAATAAAACGTGAAAACTCAGACAGACTTGCATCTAAAAAAAATAATAATACACTGAAATTCCACTGCCCACTTATCGATGTGATGTATGAACCAAAGTAGAACTGTGAGAAGTACCTTTGACATAAGAAGATTCATTAGAAGCTTTATCACTTTTTGATTTTTCTTTTTCCTTTTGTTTATAAAATACTGTTTTCTAGGATATATATAACCAAAAATATTAAAACATGGAGGAAACATAAATTTAATTCCAAAGCCAAATGTAAAGCAAAATTAAAGATTTTCCCCTGAACATCAATCAAGCCAACTTTTCAAGGGTATCATATGCAGTACTTGTGGTGGTATGGATGCAACCAAAAAGATAACACGCACGCTCACAGATAATGTAATAGATCTTCTACACGTCATTTTAGAAAATGCATACAAAATAGTCTTTTGAGACAGTGTTAGAAATTCACACACCTGGAGACAGAGAAAATAGGAAGCCTCGGGTCCTACAAGAGTGCTAAGGAGCCCTTGCCACCTGACCACAGGCTTTCTTCATTCCCAGATCTACCAAATTTACAGAAAGGGGGGCTCACATTAATGCTAAGAAAGAGAAAGATCATGACTGGACCATTTAAAATAATAATTAGTTAATTAGAAATCAATGAATTTTAAAAGTATTTCAAGACATAATTTTCTTTCCCTAATTTACAATTCTACTATTGTGTACCCAAAATTTCCCCCATTACTTGGGCATTCTTTTGCTCTGAACAATCAAAATAATCTCCACTGCAACCAAAACACATCATATTCAATCATAGTTTATCTCTCCTCTATTTAGATGTATTCTTCCAAAAGTACATATATTAATGGTATTTACTCATTTGAAGATAAATTATTTATAATTAGTAATCACTTAACCCATAAAATTGTCTTATAATAAAATAATGATCTGTACCAATGTAAAGCCAATCAATATAAAACATTGAAGAATTATAAGAATGTTTCACTGACACTATGAAATTCAGACACTGAAATTCAAATAAAATTTCAATTTTTGTTTATTTAAGGAATTACATGTCTCTTTATATTTAATACTAATAAATACTAAATTTCAAAAATCTGTCATCACCTTTGAGAGCAACCACAATGTAATGGAATCTAAAATAGGCAAACAAAGCAGGTCATGACAATTGACTGTTGTGGGAAAAGGGATCCACTTTTCTTCTCTTTTATTTTGTCTTTTTGATTTACTATAGAGGCCATGAATGTGTAAAAACTATGCAAGTATTGTCATGAAACAAACAAATATATAAATTTGTTCCCTTCCCAGAAATATATGGAACACTAGAAAAATAATAGCAGTGAAAACATTAATGATATGAATATATTCACTATAAATGTTGAAATTGGGTGTTTAATATTCAGTGCTACAATTATACAATTATCTGATCATGTAATTAATAATAGTCAAGAGCACTCACTCATAAAAAAAACTATGGCAACTGCTTAAAACCAATATAAAAAATTGGTTTTATATTTCACACCTGATCAGATTTGTCAACCCCAGTTTCCTATGTTCTTGTAATGTCTTGTCTTCTATTGTAAATGACCTACACATTGGCTTTTACAGCTTAGCAGGGCAAGTCAGAACAATGGTGAAAGTGTTATGACTGCATGTTTATGCAATTAGAAAGCTGGCTTGGAAGAAGAAAAAGAAGAAGAAAATTTACCATGAACAGGGAAATGGATTGATTAAAGTTATGTTTGGCTACCATGAACACTAAAAGAACTCGAAATAAAAGTAAAAAGTCTATGTGTCTTAGGTGTTGAATGTGAAATTAGGGAAAATGGATGCTTCTCACAGTGAGTGATAAAAAAGCCTTCAAATTTTTCAGTGCTTACTCAAGAAGACTGAAATATGGTGGGAAATGTATTGGAAAATTAAGCATGTGCCTGTTTTAGGGGGAATGGTAATAGAATGTAACAAGCTCCACCAGGATTTCTTTAAAATGGTGAGAGTGAGCATCACCAATAATCCGTGGGTTTTCTTACTTGTGCATGCCATTGTGGGTGGATCAGACTCCCTCCTGAAATAATCCTTTTCACAGACACAAGAGGTTGAAGCTTCCTCATGGGTATAACTGTGAGGTGGACATTTGCTGCAGCTCTGGCTGTGAGGTGAGGCTTTGAAGAACCCAGGTCTGCACACTGTCAAAAGAAATAAGAGACTAAGCTTTTCCCTGGAACAGATGCGGTGTTTGTTCTGTGAGTAATGTCATTATTTTGACTAGTATACACAGATTACATATAACACAATCTTTGCATTAATTTCAATTTTTCTTTCATAAGCTTCTGAATCATAAATACCAGGCTATTCATTCAGATAAACAAATATTTAAGTATTTATAATTAAAGATATTTGAATGCTATGTATATTTAATGATTTTTATGCTACAGGAGCCTATAAAGAATTATATTACAAAATGTAGCAAAGACTTATTTGTATTTAAAACTTGAAGCAATGCCTTGAATATAATTTTCACTTCCTGTAATAATACATCTTATGTGGAACAAGTGCAAATTTTCTACCATGCTCATAAAATGGTGTGGTATACAGTAAGTGCTCAAAATTTGTCATTTAATTAATTAATTAATTAATTAGAAGATGTTAAAGTCCTTGGAGTTCATTTAGATTGGGGGAATGCATGAATGAGCTGGTGCATTATTCACATTATGTTGCTTCCAGGAGGAGTTAGATTTTAGGCCTTTTTTTAAACTTTTACTGCACTTGGGATTTTTTTTATTTAACATACAGCTATTCTAATACTGGTCACACTTAAATTACTTATAATTTCTATAAAAGATAGAAAATGTGTCTCAATTCATTTTATATTCACAATACTCATCAGAGTGTGTGATTACAGTACATATTCATAAATTGTTATATAATGCTCAAATGAATGAATGGCATGGCATGAAGTTTGGACTGAACTATTTAGAATCATATAAAGAAAATGTTCTCTGATATTTTTGTTATTACTCAGTTGGTTTTCAGGTAAATAAGTGCTAATGAAATAATTTTTTTATTCTGTTCATTCCTTAAGCTTTTGTGTTTTTCTTTCTCCTCATGGGCTAATGAAGTCAAACTTCAATATTCTAATTGCCTAGTGTGAGCCAATTGAAGGCCAATGGAAACCAAGCTAAAGGTTTGATTACTTTTTAAGGCTTAGTTTACATAAAGATAATAACCACCTATATTTTTCTGTTCTTAAAGTTCACTGTATATATATTTAAGAACATTTATTCATGAATAAATAAGTGCTGAAGCTCAAAGGTATACTTGCATTTCAATAAAAATGTTTGATAGATGCAATGAATTAGAGCTAAATTTCATGTGCTATAAATGATCTGGGATTTTAGTAATCCATGCAAAGGTGTTCTACCATCACTATGAATAATCAGGACCTGACAAAATTGAGAAGATACTTTTCTCTGTAGATCTAATTATAGCGATAGTAAAGCCTTAATGCGCTTACAAATTCAGAGAGACTGTGAAGAAAGATAAGAGCTTTTTGATAGTATTAAGAGCATTCTTGACATTAAGTGATTAGGAAAATATTTAAAATACTATTTTTTTAATAATAGGATTGCTGTACCAGCCAGTACCAGCCTTAGCTAAGTTTATCCATTATTTTCTTTTATCCTTTTATTCCCAAGTTAAATACTATTTGCTTTCAAAGATGTGAAGTGCCAATCCACTCATTCTGCATATTTGAAATTCATTTATCATTCATGAGACAGAAGTCATTTCTTTTCTTTTTAATGAGTGCCTTTTATCTTAAGGACTTTGCATGATATCATATGTAAAGTTGCTGTTCAACCAACCCTCCATGGGAACTTTGGAGATAGGCAATAATATAAATGTAAGTAAAAAAGATGATACATGCATCTTTCTGTTCAATAGTCAAACAGAATTCTTTCAGCAGGTGTGATAAGCCAGATTTTGCTTGCTACTGAGTTACAGAGATAAACGAGATAGAAATGACCCTGCCTTTATAAGTTTAAAAGGTATTTCATAAATAATTATAAATATCATTATGCTACAAAAGACAGCTATGAGATTGAACATCAGAATCTACTTAATTTTTTTAATCCTCACCTGAAGACATTTTTAATAGCTTTTTGAGAGTTGGCAAAAGAGAGAGAGAAAGAAGAATCACCACTGTGAGAAACACCAATTGGTTGCTTTCTGTACATTCTGGACTGTACAGAAAGGGGATCATATGTGCCTGGACTGACTACCCATCAAGGCACATGCCCCGACCAGGAATTTAACCTGCAATCTTTCGGTGTATGGGATGATGCTCCAACTAACTGAGACACACTGGCTAGGGTAACATCTAACTTAGACTGGAATATCAAAGACTTTTTCTAAGAAAGCTGAATCTCTGTTGAGTTGTAAAAGATTAATAATATCATCCAATTGAATAAGAGTATTGCAGTGCCTTAGAGGGAAGAATCTTTTCAAAGGACTGAAAGAGGTGGAGAATAAATAGGGAGATGGGGGAGGCTAAATAATTGATCAGGCACATAGTAGGACTAAAGTGGCAGAGATAAAGTGGGACAGGAAAGGAGAAAGCAGGTCACAAATACCTTATGATTGTTATTATTTGGAACTTTTATTTATGAATAAAGGCAGGTTATTACAAAGATATAAGCAGGGAAATAATAAAATCAAAGTTGTTTTAAAGAGATCATTTACCAGCAGCATGGGTAACAGACTGAAGAGGTGCATGGATGGAGGCAATTAGCCTTTTTTTCTATTGCATTAATTCAGAAAGGGACTCTTGTGTTACCAGTGTGGTTCCAATGGTCATAGATGAGAGTAAGTGAAATCAGGAGATAAACACGAAGTGAAATAAATAAGATTTCATGGTATATTTAATGGGTCAGATGAGTAAGTAAGAGATTTTAAGAATGACTCTGAAGTGTTTGCCTTAAACCACGCAGGATATACTGTTGCTGTTTTCTAAGATGGAAAACACTAGACATGAAATGTGTTTGTGGGAAGATAATGATTATGTTTAAAGAATTTTTTAAATTTGAGGTTAGCTGCAGAAATCCACATAGAGATACAGAGAGGAAAAATGTGGGATTCAATGTTGTCAAATAAAAATACCACAAAACCACAATTTTACATTGCCCTCATATCACAGTCCCAAATTCAAATGGGACATACGAATGTCTGTCCAGAAAGTGTCCAGCCATGTACTATGAAAAAGAGACATTGATTGAAGAAGATACAAGATTCAAGAAACATTGTACACAGGACAATGACTCCTAAGTCCCCTCAAAGTAGACACCTTGGAACCTCACACAGTTATCCCAATTGCCATCAGTTGCCCTGTTGCATTTTCTTGAACCTTGTTGACAGTCTGATCTCTCTTCCCTTTCAAAGGTGATTTTAGTTTTGGGAAAGTCAGAAGTCACAGGGTGCCGAATCTGGGCTATAGTGGGCCTGAGTCACCTGGGTGATTTGCTGTTTCACTGAAAAACATGATGCGTGAGGAGATGCATAGCTGTGGCCTTTAGAATCATCCAAATAGTTTCTGTGGAGGAATGTTCAAGCTTAATGCAAAATGTGATGCAGATTCGTTGCTCTACTCGCTCAATCATTTTGAATGTGATGGCCACACAGTACACATGTTCACTCAAAGGTGTCTACTTCCCCCACTGAATAGTACAGTGAAATAATCATTATTCATGCATATACATTCCAGTCCACTCTCTTTGGCTGCCAGGTTGCATCTATGCTGTACAAACCATGTACATTCTCATTAAGTTGACAATAGTTGTTTTTTTTCCAAACAGACCTTGTACAATTCTAATAGACAATCACTGTATTACTTCCTTAGTTAACTTCAGTTCCTAGCATTAACATGATTATGTTTAACTTCACCTCTTCTAAATTGTTACAAGTTTTGTTCCTTTCTGACTCTTAGCTGGTATGCAACGAGGGACCCAAAAAACTGAAATTATCTTCTGGAGGGCAGGCCCCTTAATTACAGGCTTCCCCCACTATTGGAAGACTTTTTCAACATGTTTGCCCATTTCATGATGGGTAGTTTAGGCATGCACCTGCCTATATCAGGCTGAGTGTTCAGAAGTTTTTGACCAAAAATAGCATGTCCTCCATGTCCCACACTCTCTATTCACCTGATCTCTCCCTGAGCCATGTATTTTTTCTCCTATACAAAAGGACTCAAAGGGAAATATTTTGCTGAAGTAGAAGAGGTGAAACAGCACAAACAATAAAAGGCATAAAAATCAACAAGTTCAAAAACTGTTTAGAGCAGTGGAGAAAAATGTCTTGCTAGGCGTATTGCATCAAATGGAGAGTACTTTGAAGGTTACCGATGCTTAGACATGTAAGGATAAGTACACAATTTTTAATAAATAAATTGTGTTTTGTGGGGAGGTCCCTCCTCTTATTTGCTATAAAAATAGTAGTCATCAGAGAGGAAGGTCATTATTTTTCTACCACAAAATCTCCAAACTTATATACACTTAGACTTACATTCTTTACCTATCTTCTTGTTAAAATGGAAATGTGTCCTTGCTCCTATGCCTTCTTCCCACACACATACACCTACTCTGTCACTCATGTGGACCCAGTATAATTTTCCAGAAATTTGGAATGAAAGCAAAGTAAAGCAAAACAAAGAACAACAACACAACTGTCCATCTCACTTGATTCTAATTATCCTTATAGCTTACAAATAGTTTTGTTTCCTTTCAGAACATGCTTTCTTAAGTTATTTTCCATACATGCATCTCTAGTGCCTCATTTTGCGTCACACACTGACGCACTCCACTCTGATGAAACTACTCAACCGGAACTGCTTTCATTAAGATTGCAGTCATCCTCTTGCCATGCTTCTCAGCAGCATTTGATCTAGCCATCTTTTGGGGAAACTCTAGGTAATTTTATTACAAAATGCTAGCATAGCCTACATATTGACACATAATATGTAGGAGTCCTTTCAAATGTGGTCTCCTGCAACACTCATCATCTCCATCCATGCTCATCTACTTATAATTTCCTGCACTTGAGAAGCATCTCCACCTGCCTCTGAATATTGCAGGAAAAGCATTCCAGGTCAAAAGACAGGAAATATGAGTCACACATACATGCACATGTGCACACA